CTGGGAGTTTAAATAATTTTTTCGACTCTGACAATACATTATTAACCTGTACATCGCATAATATGGACACTATTAATTAGTTAACACTGATAAAATGAATAACTTGATTGCATTTTTTGGTTTAGTAAGGGATGAGCACATTTTAAATATACAGAAATATGGTAACTAACAGAATATATGTTATTTTCCATCAGTGTTATTTACTGATTTAACTGCAATACTGACGCAAAGAAATGAAAATACTCACACTTTCTTTAATTTTCCTCAGAACTTACTACATTAGCATCTGACTGTGCTACATCATGCTGTGGATGACGTGGAAGATGGTGGTGGACTCCCTGCGTGGACGGAGAAGGAGACTGCCCTGTTCTCTCTGGTTTGTCCTGCTGTTCGCTGCTGGAGGTCTGGTTCTCTTCATCCACCAGCAGGCTCTGTCAGAGATGGTCCAGCAACAAGGCCCAGGTTGGTCTGTAGTTTCCCTAAAACAGATTTAACCAGTATGGCTTTTACGTTTACTGATATTTTCCCATTTTTAGATATTCTGATTAGCTATTTTTTATATTAACCTTCTTTACTCTTAGGATTTGTGTGTGTGTGTGTGTGTGTTCCACTGTATTTTCTCAATAGGCTTGAAAAGCTCTCAGAAACCTTTTAGGTGTTTTTTTTTCACAGACAAAAACTGTTTAAAGTACAGAATAAAAGTAATGACAAATGCTCCAGTCACAAATCCACAGTCATGAATTTGATTATCACATCCAAAAATGGATAACCAGTAGGTGTATAGTGTCAAAATCAAAGTTATTGATTTAATCAATTTAAAATACTTTAGGCAATAGGAATAAGCAATAAAAGCATAACATTTCATTTAAAATCTAAATAACTGAGGCCCTCACTTGACTTTAGTGAGTGTTTATGATTCATTGATAAGAAAGAGATAAGGGGGAAAATGGCATCCATGAGAAAGTTCCAAGGCAAATCCCACTGCGCTGCTAAAAGAAAACAAAGGCTCATCTCACATTTACCAAAAAAAAACCATCTTGATGATCCTCAAGACTTTAGGGAAATAGTCTATGGACTGTCAAGAAAAACACTTAATTTTTGGTTGGTTTGAATCCCCTTACATCGGGCATAAAAGTAACACAATATTTCATACAAAGAACATGATATCAACTCAAACATGGTTGTAGTAGTGTGATGATGTGAGGCTGCTTTTCAGCTTCAGAAACTGAAGCCAGCTTTAGGCAGTCCTTGCCAAAGTGACTGAAAATACTCCATCCAGATAAGCAGAATTGACTTCTGGATTAAGCTGGGAGAACTCACAATAATGCAGATGTACACACTATGCAATCAAACTGGGAGACAGAGGCACATTCCAAATCAGAAAGTAGATTGCATGTATGAGCTGTTATATTATTTGCTTTGGTTTCACTAGGGGGGAGCAGGAAAAAAAGATGGAGAGAGAAGCAGAAAAAACATTTGTTCCCCAAATAATACCTTTTTCATTCCATCTCATAGAACAAATGGTCAGTTTTCAATCCTCCTCAAGAACAAGGCTCTATATTCAATTTCTAAATGAGTTAAACCTTTATCCTTGCAAAGTGACCCAGTGCCATTGTGCTTGGCACTCAGCGTTAAGAAGATTGGGGTATAAGCAGCCATGATGGAAGAGTGTCCTAATCGTGTACAACCAAGCTGCTTCATGTTTCAGAAACAAGAGATCAGCTGCATACATATGCACAGCTATGGCTTATGCTACAGTTTCAACCAAATGAGAGTGTCAGTCACATTTTTCTACTGCTGTTGCAAAAATCTATGAATTTCATTTTAACTTTGGTATTTTTATTCAGAGACTAAAGGGTGATGTTTCACCTTATTTTGATTTCACAAAATCACTACTTTAAGAACCATGTTCCAGTTGAAATCAAAAGACATCTTTTTTTTTTTTTAATTACCAAAGTCATTTGTGACATGTTCACAGATTTTTGATCATAGAAAATGATGAACCAGTCAAGGGAGCTTTTTGGAGATACAATCAACATCACCATCAGAGAGCGTCAGAGTCAGAGAAACTGTAATCCACTAAGTAGGCTATCTGCACTATCATGTGTCAACAGCACTGTGAATCATTATGAATATGAGTGGTGTCACACTCCACAGCAATAAGAGCCACTTAGCCAGAGTGGAATCTCTCCAACCCTCTAATATTCCCCTGATTGTCAGATGCTTTCAGGCACGGTGTCAGGTGGAAAAAACGGGCATTTGCAATGACAAGCAGGACACACACGGAAGCACACATGCAAGACAAACATTCACATTATGTAGAAACACAAAAACTATGACAGCCAGTATTCAATATTCATGAGAAATATCTAACCAAGACCCATAAGAGCTTGTAATGATTACAAGAACCAGATGCTTTGTGAAATCTGGTATGAAACTGTGTTGGAGGTGGACCATTACTTTAAAGGAACAATATTTTTCAACAAAAGCACAACACAGTTTGAGGAGGATTTTTTTTTCTCAACTAACAAAAAAACTAAAACGTCCATACTATGCAATGTATACTCTTTATATAAAACTATATATGAATTTTAGTAATATTATTATATTATATTATTATTTCTAATGTGTCATTTTATTTTAGCCATGTTGCCAATCTGAGACATGATTTCATTCTTTCCTTTAAATTAGTACCCTGGACAGGTTATCACTCTATTGCAGGGCTAACACAGGCAGACGGATCACCATTTAGACTCACGTTCACACCTATGGCCGATTTAGAATTGCCAGTTTACCTAACACTTGCATGTCTCTGGACTGTGGAAGAAAGTTAGAGTAATCAAAGTGATTCCACGTGGATACCATGAAACATGTAATTTGAAACCAGGACCTTTTGCTGTGAGACAAAGCTGCTAACTGCTTGTGAGGTAGCATAACATAAGCAGCATGGAAAGTGATAGGAAGACAGCATCTGCAGACTGTTCAGGTTTCTTTTAAGTGTTCTTTAGTTTCTGGCATGGCCTTTCAACAACTGTTTCATAAAACATAAGAACCTGGTAGTCAAAATCTCACCTGCTTTATATAGAATTCCACTCACACCTTGACCTCATTAACCTCTACCATTGGGAAAACAGGGTAGACTAAATAACACAGTCTAGACAAAGAAACCAGAATAAAATAATTTTGCCACTTAATAAACTCATTCACCCAGCTAAACGGTTTGAAAAGTCAATCTCTTCACGTAATCTGACTCATGAGGTTATTTTAAATTAAATAAACAATTTTACACAAAAGAGACACCTTCATTTGGTTACACCCAATTGACATGATCAATGACATCATATCCAAAAAAACCAGGAAGTACTGGGGCGGCCCTTCCCATATACCTGTTTTACACATAGGACCTGCTCAAAGGAACACACATTGGTAAGTATAACCAAACTACATAAACAAATGAAAGATTCAAATCAATTAATGATGAAGTGACATTTAGCTTTAAGAACATTTGCACAGATGAAATGAATATACCCAATGCTACCACAAACAGACCCGGAATAGTGTGTAGCGCCAAGGTTACATATGCTGTGTTTACATTAAAGCATTATGATAGACTATACGATAACAGAACACAAATATATGCAAGTGACAAATGAATTCAGTCCTAGCCACTTTGTCACACTGCTCCAAAGTTTAAATGTTTTAAATTGTAGATATTTAGAGTTACTGTTAATTTTGATAAACTTGAGTAAAATAACTATTCATTTGAAATTTTAGAAGAATTTTGAAACTAATTATTCATAGATTTAGTATAACGACATAAAGAAATGGAATGACATGTAGAATACACCAAAACGGAAAAAGGCAATTCTAGATAGCTATACGGTAGAATAAAAAAATTATTCTTAAGAAATAGAAACTCTAAGCAATACTAAGTACTGACTTTAGAAATTTAGATATGCAGCAATTTTGCCATTGCCTTATGAATTTGGAGGTCACACAGCAAAAACAATTTCCTCAGTCTGACGTAGTTGGGCAGCAACTAATTCAAACTAGGCTAAGGAAAAAGGTTGCAACTTCACAGTTACACCTATCAAATGTCAGTGCATATGTTTTTAAACTGATGATTATGTACTGGAGAACAAAAGTGTCGTTTTGGGAGCTATGATTAAATAAAGAGGTGAAGTACTGGTGTGGTGCAGTACAGGTGGGTGGGGGTAACATATTAAAGCTAAGAAGTCACTAATAACCAAGGAAGGTATGAAGTATATTCCAGCGTCCTTCTATGCCAGAATGATTAAATACATAATGGCTAATATGTATGTACGTGTAAATGTGTTTTAATGTCTGTTTAAATGCTTTCCCGTGATTATTTTCATGTTGGCTTGAAATAAAATATCTCCCTCTGCTGGTACTGCAGCTTACTGCAACTTCTGCCTGCATAACCATTTCAAACTTCGGAGAGGCAAAGCTAGAAGTAGGCATGGTGGAGTGGCGTTTCTATTACATGCTCTGCCATGATACTGGGTTGCTCTATATGTAAAATGGAATATAGTAAAGATGAGGTACTCTAAAGTTAGAAGACACAAACAAGGCTGAGCTCCACATCCGCACACAGTACTATGACATTACTACAAATGAAGTAAAAGGCTCCCAACATGAACAATTAAAGAAGGTGGAGGCTACGAGCTTCCTCAAGTGAGTCAAAGCTAATAGGTGGCAGCAGCATGTCCTTAATGAGTTCTCTCTTTTGATTAGTAGCCATCTTTTCAAACCAGTAGTGTATGTCTTATGATTCGTTTTGCAGCCTAAGCACATCCTTTTATCTCTTCTACTGTATCACTACTTGGAATTGAAGTAAGAATTTCACTTTACTAAATCATGCATGAGAGACTGTGTGCTGTATACAGAACACAGTGGCTACACAGTGTTCCCAGCCCCCTCGCTAAAGCACAATAAGCAAGCAGTATCTTTGCCTTAAGCTATGGTGCTTCAACCGAGCAGAAGCTCATATCTAATAGAGCAGAGTTATAATACATTGGGTGTCAGCTTTTATCTGCCACCCCCTCCTTCTCCACCTCTTTATTTGGCTCACACTGTACTTAGGAGCTTTGTATCCCATGGTTTAGATGGCCTGCACAATGGTAGCTGAGAAAACTGCTCTTTAAATGGCCACAGTCATCTCCTGAACACTCTGAAGTAATTGTTTAAGGACAATTGGAGGAACAGCAGCCAGTTTTACAGGGAGAACAGACACCTGAAGAGGTTGCAGTTCAGATAAATTGTCTGCACAAAGTTACACCTCTAGGCCTTTTTCCAATGAGTCTGACTCCAGCTGCTTCAGGGAGTGGAAGGTTGCCCTATGTTTCACCTCGAGAACCCCAACACAGAGCAATCCACAGATGGAGAAGTAGAGCATCAGCTGCTGCTTGGTTGCTTGTGTATTTATTGGTAAGCAAGTGGCT